CTGCTGGAGGTGGAGGTACTGCTGTTGCTGCTGGTCCCAGAGGTACTCGTACTGGCGGTGCTGGAGCTGCTGGGACTGGGGGTGCTGTTGGGGCTGCTGGAATTGGTCCTGCTGGAGGTACTACTGGAGCTGCTGGCGGTACTGGAGCTGCCGGTCCTGCTGGAGCTCAAGCTGCTGGAGCTGGAGCTGCTGGGGGTGTTGGCGCTGGTGGTTCTGCTGGCGCTGGTGCGTCTGAGGGTGCTGGAGTTGGCGCTGTTGGAGCTGGAGGTGTTACTAGCGCTGGTGCTGTCCCTGCTGGTTCTGGAGGCGCTGCGCGGCTGCGGCCATACTTCGTTCCGCTCCTTGAGCAGGTTCTTGGTCTCCCGCCCTCTACTGGTCTTGCTCCTCCCTTTTAGTGTCCACAGCCTGTCTAGTCGCAGTCACAGTTACAGCCCGCCTCCCCCCTACCTGCTCCTTCTCCCTACACTGGTCCTACTGGAGGTCTTGCTGAGCGTCGTGAGCCTGCGTCTCGTCCTGCGTCGCCTTTTCGTGCTGGTCCCACTAGTCGTCGTGCTCCGGGTCCGCGTCCTCCTGCGGTCCCAGGCACACACTAGATGACAATGTGTCCTTCCACTGCTCCTCTCCGTGTCCCGTTGCCGTCTCCTCCAGAGTCCTCTCTTCCTGTTCTTGCTGACTCGGAGTCTGACTCTCTTCGTGCTGCCAGTCCTACTGTCATGCGTCTCCTGGCCGCTGTTGTCACTGACCCTTCCTTTGAGTCCACTGCCGCGTCTTCCTTGGTTGCTGAGCTTGTCGACTTCGCTGCTCGCAGTCGTCTAGACTACGCCACTAGTCTTGTTGCTGCGGTTGAGTCTGTCTGTCCTCCGTCCGTCGGGGGTGAGTGTGCTCTTAGTACGGACGTCCTTGAGGACAGGCAGGAGGAGTTCCAGTGTTTTGCTGCTGCTTTGCCTCATCTGGTGTCCACGCTGATTGCCCGTGAGGGAGACCCGGATGCACCAGACATCCCAACTCCTCGTTCGTAGGCTGAGGCGATCGAGGGTCCCTACTCCCCTCAGTGGCAGTCACCCATGGACGCAGAGATGGCTTCCTGGAAGTCCACAGGCACCTATGTCGGGTGCTGCTGCACATAGCCGCTCAGCGCGACTACGAGCTTCACTCTCTTGACTTCAGCACAGCTTTCTTGCAGGGCAGCCTGCACGAGGAGATTTGGCTGCGCCGCCCATCTGGCTTCACTGGGTCGTTTCCTCCTGGTACCCAGTGGAGCCTCCGGCGGCCAGTCTACGGTCTCCGCCAGGCGCCCCATGAGTGGCACGACACACCGAGGACTACACTTGCGGCTCTTGGGTTTGCTCCTTCTACTGCCGACCCGTCGCTGTTTCTGCGCACCGACACGTCTTTGCCGCCGTTCTACATCCTCGTGTACGTCGACGACTTGGTCTTTGCCACTGCTGACACTGCTGGACTCGCCCACGTGAAGTCGGAGCTGCAGAAGAGACACACGTGCACAGACCTGGGTGAACTGCGCAGCTACCTTGGCTTGCAGATCACCCAGGACAGAGCACACCGCACCATTACCCTGACTCAGTCACACATGGTGCAGCAGGTCCTTCAGCGCTTCGGCTTCAAGTACTCCTCGCCTCAGGCCACTCCTTTGTCTACTTGCCACTCGCTCTCAGCTCTGCCTTCGGATGAGTCCGTAGAGCCGAGTGGCCCGTACCCAGAGCTTGTTGGCTGCCTCATGTACCTGATGACCTGCACACGACCTCACCTTGCATACCCTCTTAGCATCTTGGCACGCTATGTTGCTCCTGGGAGACACCGACCAGAGCACATGGCTGCAGCGAAGAGGGTGTTGCGCTACTTGTGCAGTACGTCGGGCATGGGGCTAGTGCTTGGAGGGCGACGTTGAGTGGTCCTCATAGGTTACGCTGACGCTTCTTGGGCTGACGACCAGGCTACGCAGCGGTCGTCACAGGGTTACACCTTCAGCCTTGGCTCGGGCTCTGTTTCGTGGCAGTCTACTCGCTCGTCTTCTGTTCTCGGCTCCAGCTGTGAGGCTGAGATCTACGCGGGGGCCATGGCTGCACAGGAGCTACGCTGGCTCACCTACCTGCTGACTGACCTAGGAGAGCCGCCTTGTTCTCCTCCAGTTCTGTACGTAGACAACAAGGCCATGCTGGCCTTGTGTCGGGAGCACAGTCTGGAGCATAGAAGGAAGCACATTGCTCTCCGCTACTTCCTTGCTCGTGAGCTGCAGCAGCGTGGTCAGCTGCGCCTTGCTTACATGGCCTCTGAGGCCAACACTGCTGATATCTTTACCAAGGCACTTCTGCCTTGTGATCATCAACGCTTCGATACGATGCTAGGTCTTGTGCCTACTTGGCCTCACTTGCTCACTTCTTGACCTTGCTTGTACTGTGATCTTTCTATACCTGCACTTGCTTGTTTACCTTTATATATGATCTTACATGTGAACTGGCCTTGTGGCCTTGCTCTTGTGCTCGGACTGTGTGGTGACGTTGTGATCCACCCTGAGCTTGCCTTGCTTTGCTTGACTGGTCTTGTGACCTCTTGTTCTCCCCCACTTTGCCTATGGGGGTGTGTCAAACTCATATGCTATAGTCTGTGTAGGCTGTAGTGGGGTAGACAATATGGGGTACAACACTTCTAGGTTTTCCTACTTGTACCCAGCTGCTTGCTAGTTCATTCATTCCTCATTTCTTCACAGACGGTGCCCTAAACCTGCCCGTCGTGCGCCCCGTGGCACGCGACGGTGCCCTGCCCGTCATGCGCCCCGTGGCACGCGACGGTGCCTTGCCTGTCGTGCGCCCCGTGGCATGCGACGGTGCCCTAAACTGCCCGTCACGTGCCCCGTGGTGCGCGACGGTGCCCTGAGCCGCCGCGGAACCGCCCCTGGCGCCTGCGACGATGTCCTGAGCCGCCGCGTACCCGCCCCTGGTGCACTCGGCGGTGCCCCTGCCTCATCCGCGCTTGCACTCGCTGCAGCCGCCCCTACACCACCCGGCGCCTGCCCTTGGAGCAGCCGCCCCCGCTCCTGCACTCGGTGCAGCCTCCTCTGCCTCACCCCGCGCCTGCACTCACTGCAGCCGCCCCTGACCTACCCGCGCCAACCCTCTGTAGCCGCTCTGCGGCTTTCTCCCCGCCCACCCCCTCCTCCTTCGTCTCCCTGCAGCCGTGGGGGGGAGGGTATGGGGGTGGCGGGTGCTGGGGTGATGGGTGGTGTGCTTCCCTTCCCCTCCTCCTTTCGTTCCCACTGCTGCAGCTGCCGCTGGGGGGGAGGGTGTGAGGGTGTGGGGGAGCCGGGGGAGTGGCACTGGGGTGGCGGGTGTGAGACCAACCAGCAGTCGTCCCTCCACCTCTCCTCTCTTCCCCCCTCTGCTGCTCCTGCAACAGTATGGGGGCGAGGGGGAGGGGGAGGGTGAGGAGATGGAGGGGGTGACCAGCCAGAGCCAGCCCGCCTCCTCACTCTCCCTGCTGCCCCTCCTGTGGTTGGGGGGGGAAGAGAGTAAGGGGGTGGCAGGAATGTCTTGCTGTCGCCTGTCCCTTTGCTGCTGTACCTGCTCTGTTACCGTGCGTGCTGTTGCTGTTGCTGGTGTACCCCTGCAGGTTGTGTTTTACACAAACTCCTGCTGCAGGCAGTTATGGGGGAGTGTTAGAATATATATGTAACTGCTTGTAGCTGTAGTTTAGTGTAGTTATTATAAACTGTTGGTGGTGCACCTTCTTTGCATGCTCTGTTTACTATATGTACCCTAGTGCTATAGTGAACATCACTTTTCCCATTCTCGACTTTCTCCTTGGCACAACCTTCTCGACTTCCCCTTGGCCTAGGCTACTAAGCCTAGGCCCTACCTAAAACTTAACTACCACATGTGCTCCTATCTCAACACGTATGTGCGACGGGGTCGCACATTTGACGACGAAAACTCTGATTGGACAAAAAAAAATTCGGTCGTTCTGCGAGACCGTGCGACGTCGTACGTGGCAGTCGCTCACGGTGTCGACTACTTGGCCGAATTGGAGTCGCCATGGTGTCGGATACGAGTCGACTTTCAAAACGGCCATCAATTTCGTTTTTTATTGACGAAATTAACGACGGTCGCGAGTGTCTGCGAAATTTTCTCAAATGGGTTATTCTCGCCAATTCGGCCACTTGGCTAGTGGCCGAATTTTTAGGTGTGCATGCCCTAATTTTTAGGTGCGGCCAATCTAGAAGTGGCCTAGTCAGTAGAAAGAGGCACTTCCGATAGATGAGGTCCTGGGATTGAACCCACCCCCGTGCAGGCGTGTTCTGCTAGCCCCAAGAAGGGGTTAGCACGTGCTCATCTAGGAATAGATACCCCTAAAAACTGGTTACGACCAGAAATATAACTTTAACTTTAACTTTAACCCTTATAGATGCCAAAAGTATACTAATTCAATCCCCCCCGCACCAGTGCACTCTCGTAGCGTTCAGAGCCTGCACAACTGAAAAAAAACATACCTAAAGCATTGAAGTGCGACGCGACCGTAGCAGATCCCTTAAGCTCGCCTAAGGCAGAGTCGACGAATACACATCTAGTCGTTTAGTTGTCGCGGGCGTCGCCGTCGCGTCAATCGTACGTTTAGTGTGGCAGCCGTCCTGGCCACGCGTAGGGTTGCGATCACGCGCGCGAACCGACGAGTACACGCGCAATATGGAATCTTGTCACGCCTTCCTCTGCTGCCCCTCACTTGGCCTCTCCTCGCCGCTTCGCCGCGCTTTCCGTAGTGGTCTCCTTGCCTCCCCACGCAGCCTAGAAAAAACCTTCTTTTGCATGATCCGCTTGCCGCAAATCGCCTCCCTCGAGTCCCAACCCGCTGCCTCGCCGGACATCGCGTCGTAGCTTCGCCTCAACGCCCGTCACGGCGTCGCCTCGCCGCAAATCCGCACGCGGCAGCGTCACCTCGCCTCCTTGCGTTGCCTCCTCACGCCACCTTGATCACGCTCACCGCGCCACAACATGCAGGCACTTATTTGCCTTCCAATCTCCCCTTTCCGCATCCCGTTCTCCCCTTTCCGCATCCCGTTCTCCCCTTTCCGCATCCCGTTCTCCCCTTTCCGCATCCCGTTCTCCCCTTTCCGCATCCCGTTCTCCCCTTTCCGTATCCCGTTCTCCCCGTCGTGCCTCCCTTTCTCCCATTCTTGCCTCCACTTCTCCCATTCCCACCTCCCGATCTCCCTTCCCTTGTTTCCCTCTCTTCCCTCCCTTCCCTTGTTTCCCTCCCTTCCCTCGTTTCTCTGTCTTCCCTCCCTTCCCTCGGTTCCCTCTCTTCCCTCCCTTCCCTTGATTCCTTCTCCCCATCCCTGCATCCCCCTCTCCCCATCCCTTCATCCCCCTCTCCCCATCCCTGCATCCCGCTCTCCCCATCCCTGCATCCCCCTCTCCGCATCCCTGCATCCCCTTCTCCCCATCCCTGCATCCCCCTCTCCCCATCCCTGCATCCCCCTCTCACCGTCCCTGCATCCACATCTCCGCCTCTCATTCTTCCATTCTCTCCCTTTCCTCCCTTCTCTCCCTCCCCTCCTTTTTCTCCCATCCATGGTCTCTTCCTGCAGTCCCTTCCGTCCCCTCCCTCCCTTGCCTCCCTTCCCTCCCTTCCCTCACCTACCTCCCTTTCCGGGCCCTTCTCTCGCTTCCCTCCCTTCTCTCCCTTCCCTCCTTCCATCCTCTATCTCCTTTCCATCCCTTATCTCCCTTCCTTCTCTTCGCTCTCTTCCCTACCCTTGCAGTCTTCCCTCCCTTTCATCCCTTATCTCCCTTCCTTCCCTAAAACTCCCTTCCCTCTCTTCGCTCTCTTCCCTACCCTTGCAGCCTTCCCTCCCTTCCCTCTCTTACCTCCCCGCGATTTCCCTTCTCTCCCGTCCCGCCGTTCTCTCCCTTCCCTCCCTTCTCTCCCTTCCCTCCTTTCTCTCCCTCCCCCCCTTCTTTCCCTACCCTCCCTTCTCTCCCTTCCCGCCATTCTCTCCCTTCCCTCCCTTCTCTCCTTTCTCTCCCTGCATCTCCTTTCCCTCCCTTCCCTCCCTGCGATCTCTTTCCTCCCTTCTTTCCCCCCCCCCAACCCCCTCGTCAATCCCTCAGCTCCGCCCCCATCAGCGTCAAACATTTTGGGCCGCCCCTTGTCCGTCTCCTCCCTTTTGTTCATTCATAATATCCCGCCTCACCCATCTCCCTTCCCCGCCTCCCCATCTCCCGTTCCTCTCATGTCCTCTCTTTCTGCCCTTCAGGCCCACCTCTAAACCCTAAACCCTTTTTGCCTCCCAATCTCCCCTTTTTGCCTCCCAGTCTCCCCTTTTTGCCTCCCAATCTCCCCTTTTTGCCTCCCAATCTCCCCTTTTTGCCTCCCACTCTCCCCTTTTTGCCTCCCAATCTCCCCTTTTTGCCTCCCACTCTCCCCTTTTTGCCTCCCACTCTCCCCTTTTTGCCTCCCACTCTCCCCTTTTTGCCTCCCACTCTCCCCTTTTTGCCTCCCACTCTCCCCTTTTTGCCTCCCACTCTCCACTTCCGTCTTCACCATGGAAGCTACCTCCCTCTTCAACTCTCCTACCTAACTTTCTCTTTGTTTGGTGACCAATCCCTCCTTCCCTCCCCAGCCTTCCCCTTCCACCCTCCCTCCGTCTAACACCTTCTCCTTCCACCTACAGTACCTTCCTACCCGCATCTCCCCTTTTCCCCCTTCCCTCCCATGCTTCCCCCTTCCACCCCTTCCCCGCCCTGTTTTCAGTGTTCCTGATTCATGTCGTGTCCCTTTGGCCACCACCACTCCGCTGCTGCGAGTGTGGAAGAGTTAGGCGCTTGGGGCCGCTGGCATCATGCATCGTGATTTTACACCCTGAGAGTCGTCACATGACACATCCCTCCTTACCTCCCTTCCCTCCCTTCCCTGCCTTCTATCCCTTCCCTCTCTTCCCTGCCTTCTCTCCCTTCCCTGCCTTCAATCCCTTCCCTATCTTCCCTACCTTCTCTCCCTTCCCTCCTTTCATCCTTCCCTTACCTTCCCTCCCTCCCATCCCTCCCTTATCTCTCCTCCTTGCCTTCCCTCCCTTCCCTATCATCCCTCCCTTCCCTCGTTTCCCTCTCTTCCCTCCCTTCCCTCGCTTCCCTCTCTATCCTCCCTTCCCTCTGTTCCCTCTCTTCCCTCCCTTCCCTCGGTTCCTTCACTATCCTTCCTTCCATCGTTTCCCTCTCTTCCCTCCCTTCCCTCGCTTCCCTCTCTATCCTCCCTTCCCTCTGTTCCCTCTCTTCCCTCCCTTCCCTCGGTTCCCTCACTATCCTCCCTTCCATCGTTTCCCTCTCTTCCCTCCCTTCCCTCGCTTCCCGCTCTATCCTCCCTTCCCTCTGCTCCCTCTCTTCCCTCCCTTCCCTCGTTTCCCTCTCTTCCTCCCCTTCCCTCGGTTCCCTCTCTTCCCTTGTTTCCCTCTCTTCTGTCCCTTCCCTCGTTTCCCTCTCTTCCTCCCCTTCCCTCGGTTTCCCTCTCTTCCCTATCTTCTCTCGTTACCCTCTCGTCCCTCCCTTTCCTCGTTTCCCCCTCTTCCCTCCCTTCCCTTGTTTCCCTCTCTTCCTCCCCTTCCCTCGTTTCCCTCTCTTCCCTCTCTTCCCTCTTTTCCCTCTCTTCCCTCCCTTCCCTCGTTTCCCTCTCTTCCCTCCCTTCCCTTGTTTCCCTCTCTTCCCTCCCTTCCTTTTTTTCCCTCTCTTCCCTCCCTTCCCTCGTTTCCCTCTCTTCCCTTCCTTCCCTTGTTTCCCTCTCTTCCCTCCCTTCCCTCGTTTCCCTCTCTTCCCTCCCTTCCCTTGATTCCCTCTCTTCCCTACCTTCCCTCGCTTCCCTCTCGACTCCCCATCCTTCCTTCCTTACGCACTCCTGTTTTTTTAGAATTCTCAAAAAATATACGCCGTTCTCACTCTTGCAATCCTCACTGCCATCCCTCGATACCCTTGTCGTCACCTCCCCTCCCCTACCCCCTACTCCCATCTCACCTCCCCTCCCCATACCACCTCTCCTGCCCATACCATCTCACCTCCCCTCCCCCTTCCAGGGGCACTCTCCTGACCTCCCCTCCCATACCACTTCTTTTCCCACCCCCTACCAAGGGCACTTTGCTCATACCCTGCCCCTCCAGGTCTCTCACACTCATATTCTCCCATGTTTGGCTTCCCACACTCTCTTTTTGTTTTAGGGTTTCGGAGTTAAATTTGACTTCTACATTCCTGCGCAACTCCCGATACAGTCCACCCGTGTATTCATGGCGATACTCTCTCATACCGTGCTTCACTTGCAGGTGGGGTGACTCCAACTCCGCACATCCTACCACCTGCGCCAATCCCCACGAATCAAAGCCACCTCTCCACTGCATCCCACACTAGTTTTATTCTCGTAGCCAACAGCTCTCACATCAACATCCCCTTGATCGGTTTATGTGCTTGTGTTGCAGGTGGGGTGCCTTCCTGACTGTACATCCTACTATTTGCGCCTCACAAGCAACCTACGTGCCAGCCATCTGGGCATGGATAGGCACTGATGGGGGAGTGAATGGCAGGGGAGCGTGGCCACGGCCACGTGTGAAGCAGCTAGCCTCTTGGTCACTCGGCCTGTCCGTGGTTGATCCAATCATCCAGTCTGCCGCCTTGAACATTAGCACATACCATAGACACCCACTCACATCCCCTTATAGGTGTTTGTTACTGACCCAACAAGTCGTGCCATCAAATACTTCTTTCTGTGTTTTGCACCAACTGGTTATTTACCCCGGTGTTCTGTGACATCATTACAAGTTGCAAACATCATGAGTGTATAGCATGAACTATTCCAAAATACAGTATGTAAGCAAAGCAGTTTGGTTACAAGTAAACGCACAGAGCAATCCATGCATACGGCACTAACTTCGTGACTCCCCATCAGAGAAGTGTGCAGCCAACTTCTATTTGCAGTCAATGCGGGAAATGTGATGGTGCTAGCAGGCGGTGGGGAGGATAGGCGAGCGAGGAAAGGGTACACGCAGCAGGTCGCCTTTCCTGGACGCCTAAGCTTTCGGGGCTGCAGTACCACATTTGTTGCTGCAGAGCAAATATGCCAGTTGCCGTCCGTCCACAAGGCTGCTGAACCTGAGTGGATGGTGGTAAGGAGGGCGGGGTCAGAAGGGATGCGTAGAGGAGGGATGGGGTGAGAAGGGATGCATAGAGGAGGGATGGGGTGAGAAGGGATGCATAGAGGAGGGATGGGGTGAGAAGGGATGCATAGAGGAGGGATGGGGTGAGAAGGGATGCATAGAGGAGGGATGGGGTGAGAATGGATGCATAGCGGAGGGATGGGGTGAGACGGGATGCATAGAGGATGGATGGGGGGAGAAGGTATGCATAGAGGATGGATGGGGGGAGAAGGGATGTGCAGAGAATGGATGCAAGGGGTGACAAGGGAATCCAATGAGGACAATGGACAGAAAGGAGATCGGAGGAAGACAAGAATGGCTAGCAAGTGTTGAGTGATGCTACCATTCGCATTCACGTCTGTCTGCCTCCCATCATATGTTCGTGCGTTGCATGTGTGTTGTGAGTGTGTGCAAGAATTTGTGTTTTGTGCGGTTTGGTTTTTCTGAGTGTGTGTGTGAATGTTATTTGGCTTGAGCAGATATCTGAAGTGACTCCTCTGCTCAAGAGCTTTCCGAGGAACCAAGTATCGCTTCAATCGGAGCACGAACAAGAAAGTTACGAACGTTGGAGTTCGTATGCTTTTGCTATTTGGTTGTGGTGACTATGGGAAGTTGTGGGGTTGACTCAATATGGGGTACAGACTTTTGGGGGTTGGGAAATTCGTCTTTTCTACTGTATTTGCTGCCAAATGGTTGGGAGAAACCAAACCAGGTTGGCAAGTGTGGCCAAGTTGGGTTGAGGTGGATTGTGGAGGTTGGGATAGTGACAAAGGTCAAAGTTGGGTTGCCTATGGGGAAGGGAATTGTATGGCATGGGGTTTCCTTGGTTGGGGACTCTCTTGGGACCTTCCCTCTCGTCCTCCTCATCCCTTCCACCTGGTTTAGTGCTACTCCAATTCTCTTGTGTGAACTTGTGTGAACTTTGTGATTGAGTTAAGATTCTATGGCAGCATACCCCCTAGTGCGCCGAAATCGATAACTCAAGACACACTTCACCTTTCCGTACGATTCAACTTGGGAATTGTAGCCACAAAGTAGAGCTACAACATATCTGGGTTTGGTGAAGTTTTAACTGTGAAATTTCCGTCGAAGGTGTTTCTTGTGAGCGCAACTATTCTGTCCAGAAATAGGGACCAACGATTTTGAGAAATTTAGGCACCTAATCTTCTTAGTCTCCGTCCTTAGTCTCTAACAGCAAGCACCACGGCAGACAGCATGGGATGGCATGGCATGGTCTTTCGGTCTCTCACCAGCGTACTCAGATCTTGCGCTTGCAGCCAGCACAATGAGAACACAAGTAGAGGAGGTGGAAGTGGATGAAGAGGAGGAGGAAGGCGAGGTGGAGTCTCCTAGTAGAGTGCCATCCTCGTAGTAGATGGTGCCCTGCTGATCAAACACCTTGCTATATGCGAACACGCCATGTGGCTCGCCGTCCATCCCTGGTGAAGGGCGGAGGAGAGGGGGGCGAGTGGGGAGAGTAGAGAGAGGTGGGGGGAAGAATAGGTGTGAGGATGGAGAAGCAGGGTGGGGCTGTGTATGGGACAGCCAAGTGTGGAAGCAAGATTCTCTTGCGAAATGTGTCACAATGCTACTATTAATGACCCTCTCCACTGATTGAACACACACCCTACTCACTCACCACAACTCCCCTCACTGACCACCCGCCTAACTCACTGACCACGCACGGCAGGGTGTCTTCGCTGGTGTCTTGCACACCAGCTGACTGTTGGGTAGCACAAAAAAACAAAAACACTGCTGCCACACAACAGAACATAACATATAGCTTCCAAAAGGTCCTCCCAGGTTGTTTCTCAAGGCCATAAGGCCCGAGATGGGTGGCTTACAAGGGATAGGGTGGCGGCATACCGGGGGATGGTGGAGGGCGCCACAACGGACATGCGCGCACAGTCCAAAAACGCCCCTGCCACCTCCCTCTCTGTGAATGCCCGCCTGCACGATGCTGGCAGGCACGTAGCCAGGCTCACACACTTCTGCAGACATATGCATGCATGCATGTATGGATGGATAGATGGAGGTGAATATAATAACCTAAAATGGATTAGAATGTAGGTTGTAAGCATAAACACACTTTGAGATAACAAACTCACACACGGATGGCAGCCCTCAAATGATTCGTTCGTCTTGAAGTCATCGCACATTTGTCAAGGGTCCTGCAATCAGTGAATATACATGTTCATGTAAAATATTAGTAAGTGTTGCGGGTCGTCCAACATTGACAAAATGCACCCATAAACTTACCAAGCAAGGATCGCGGTGCTATGGAGGGTTGTCCCTCATTGGTACGCCTTCGCTTCGGAGGGGGTTCGGGTGTTGCCGGTGTAGTGGGGGTAGCGGTGTCAGGCCCGGGGACCGCTGAAGCAGCAGGAGTCATGCAATTCCACTCTCGCATTATGTCGTCGACCCAACTCCAGTTCATAGGCCCTAAGATCCGCGAGCTCTTACCACGCCGCACCCTGGTAACTCGACTCATCCTGATCTTGGTTGCACGAACCTCCTTATTCAATGAATGGTTCCAATGCAACACTGTAAGGCCAACCCGTGCCCTCATGCTTCCACGAAACGGTGTGCGTTTTGGAGCATACTTGCATATCAGTGAATGAAATGATTCATTCATCCAATTGCAAGACCCATGAACATATGGTCTCATCTCGACCTCCCCACAATTTTCCTCTAGCCACTCCTTGAATGCGATATGTGTACGCGAACCATGTTGGTACAGTACACTCTCTGGTCCCCAGTTATCAACCACGCATCTAGGGGTCTCTGTGCCCCCACCACAGCGCAAATGGTCCCCAGCCCAATGGTCAGCTGCACTCCCAATCTCCCTGGCTACATCCTTAGCAGTCATTGGCACTCCCTGTTTCCAGCGTAACGCGCATCGTGCCATCACATGATAAAAGTGTACAATAAACCTTTGCACCACTGTCACCTCCTCGATTAGCTCATCTAGATCTTCCATAACCTCCTCTTGCACTGCAGCACCCGCCCCACTCCTCTTCCTGCCACGGGAGCGCCTATCCACCCAGCGTCGAGGGTGCTCTGCGGTCCCTCTTTCCCCGTCTGATCCAACAGCTGCACTTGCCCCATTTGTACCTGGTGGGAGGGCATAACAATACAAGAGAGTTTTGTCCATGATATCGTTCTCTGGAGTCTCACGTGCAAATGTGCTGATGGATCATATGTATCACAACTTGGATGGAATAGCATTGCGGGCACCATCGACAACGTGAAACATCTCACCTGTCTTCCCAGCACTGGATCTGTGCCTCGGTTCGGCGGCCAGCATGCCACGAGTCGCGTCGGTGTGGCGCGCCGCAGAGGCCTGCATGATGAAGAAAGATGCTACCTGCCAAAGGCCGCACTCCATGCTCGGGATGTGGATCATATCCCCACGGCTTTCTAACATCCGAATAATGCAGATCTATCCGGCCGTGTTCAACTGCAGTCACTGTGGCTCCCTCCTCCAGAATGTCAATAGCAACAAAGTCGGAACAGCTCTCGCGCGTGAGAAAGCCCTCTGTCGTCGCATCATACTTGTCTCGACTCTCTTCGGTCGACTGAGTGATCGGAACGTCAACTCTCTCACCCTCTCCCCGCCCTCTGTGCACGACCCATCGGGACAAGTCGCGTGGGAGGCTGATGATATGGCCGCGATGCCTTTGCCGTGTCTGCGACGTATACGTGCAACTCGTCGCATCTTAGGGTACTTCCACGGCGAATCATCCTTGGACAAATCCACGAACTGGATACCACGCACACGACACACTTCTTTTATGAGTTTTATTCTGTGCGTTTTTTTGTTTATACCTTTGAGACCTGAACCTCCATGAACTTTCAACCATGAACGCATATCATCCGGCTTGACATTCCACCAATCGTCAATGGTCTTTGCCTCAATGACACTGACCGTATCCTTTCGAGCATCCACGAAAAACTTGACGAACTTTCGTGACAACGAACGACCTTTGTGCCATACATCCATCTGATGCTCAATGTCTGTACCAAGAATACCAACCTTGAAACTCGTCCCCTCGTCAGTAATGATACATTTCACAGGAAACCCCCACTTTTTGAAGCCTTCCATCCCCCTTTCAGAAGCCCGTTTTTCTAGTTGCGTTGACGTCACACCTTCTTCGGTCTTGGGTAGTGTCACACAGTGTATAATTCTATGCGTGAATGGATCCATAAATGTGACGCTGCACCACTCAGCCTCTCGTACCTGACCCCACCTACCATCTACGCAAATCCAATAACCGCTCTCCTTACGAGCTTGCAAGCACTCACGCGCCATTTCCATACACCTCGTAGCATGCGCAATGATATTTTCCCACAGACCACCCGCCCCACTCATGTACTTATAAAACGTACTCTTACACGGGATTGGCACACCCAAGTTCCTGCCTACCTCCGACAGAGCCTGGTAACCGAAACCGGCAAGTGCAAAAGACGCGAGGAACCATTGCAGCATCGGCAAACTTTTCCGGCCAGGCTTGTCTGCAGCGCTCGGTGGTGGCTTGCGATCGACAGACGAGACCGAAACGGACTTTCCACGCATATCGCAGGTCCACACCAGTCCGAGAACAGCCCACACCAGCTTCCAAGAGCGTAGCTTCATGGATCCACCACAACCTCCACTCGCAGTGTAATGAAGAGTTATAATTATGAAAAACCGAATGAGGTGGATTGGGTTCAGCAAGCATACGACATCGCGAAGCCCTGTGAGGGTTGGTTGAGCAGGCCAGCGTCCGACTCTGGGCTCGGAGTAACTGTCATGACTGTGTGCGCTCCTGCATCAATGGATTGTTGCCATGCAAAAAACAGTGGAATACAAACATGAATGACCCGATCGATGGCAAAATAGATGAGTGTGTAATTGTGGACATCAAATAGCCCACTTTACTGTTAGACGCTCGCGCAACATCGATAAAGAAGGTTCGATAGTTGGTGACCTGGAGTGCAATAAGGTGAGCCTACAAGGCCGTACAAATTCTTACCCTGCATGGGTGTGTGGATCGGCATTGTCTGTCGTATCCACATGCGTGACTCCTGCCGGCAATCCACTCGGGCCTCCACATTCAGAATCCACAGTCACAGAGACGTCGCCTCCTTGAGGAGGGACGTGCGGATCTATGTCAATCACCACCTCCCGCTGCTCCATGCACCCCTCACCAACGACGTCGCCACCATTCGGTGATGGTGAGACGCCATTCGGGTCATCTGCTGGGTAGGAAATTGACATTA